GATTCCTTGATGATCTCCCCCTGTTCATGGTTCGTATGTGTACATGGTCGCAGCAGATGGAATCTTCAAACGAGGTTCATTCGATAGCCCTGCTAGAGATGTTTTCTTGGGAAGACTTTTTGTGTAGTGCACTCTTTGGGGTATTTGTCGGAGGCGTTGTGACATTCCTGATCTTGAAGCTGTGGAAAAGTAAAGAAAGAATGGCAGACAGAGGAAGAAGACGACTGAGTGGCTGTAATTATCCGCCTGGGAAGCAGCCTGTAGAAAATGACGAGAGACGTACGAAGACACCTCAAGAACACGAGGAGAGGTTTAATTGAAATGTGAGTACAGCTTTTTCTCTGAAAAATAAGTTTCTCAACATTTTGGCCGCCAAGTAAATATCAGTTGATGTAGAAAGTGAATACCGGTACGTTCTGATTTGGAATAGGTATTATTATAATTAAAAGGCGGGGTTTGGCTAGTAAAATTATAATTTCCTTATGGTCATGAATTTCCTATAACCTCAAACTCCCAGAATCTGGTTGTTAATTCTCCCCTAAAGCTGCTACACATTTCCTTATAAATGAATTAGGAGAATTTGGTGTGAGATCAAGAAAACGAACTCTTTTTGACAATCTCGTTCCCAAGGTCTCTCATCTTCTCGCCCCTTCTCTTCTTTCGCTCCAGAGGGCGGGAAGATGAGAGACCCTGGGAACGAAGTTACTCTTTGTGATAGTTTTAACTATTCTCATAATCTGTTTGCTTTATAATGTATCAATATTATAGCGAGAGGTTACATTTTAATCACTTCTGATAGTTCAGCTGGTACAGCAAGGGTACGGTACCACAAGACTAAAATATGTGACGTCATTTCTATTCATAATTTTTGCTTAGGAATTAAGTTTTACATTTAGGAATGTTTTGATATCGCATGACAATGAAAAAAACAAGAAACACAGAATTCCTGAAGCGCAAAACCATATCATATGACAATGAAAAAAACAATAAGTAATATAGAATTGCTGAAGCCGAAGGGTAAAACCGTATTTCCTTCTGTCAGGTGTCATTGTCGCATCTTTATCTGCATGATCGAAATACGCCTCGGTGCAGGTTAAACCTACCCTGTAAACAGTGCACTCGCGTGGGTGTAATTCGTCAGTAAAGTCTCCAAACATGTTCGAAATTCTTCCGATAATCCTGCCAAAGATGGAAGAAATTTTTTGCAATGGGGCTTTTCTTGGTGTAGTCGTGATAATCCTGTTCTTGAAGCTGTGGAAGAGTAAAGAAAGAATGACAGAGAGAGGAAGAAGAAGACTAAGTGGCTGTAATAATCCGCCCGAGAAGCAGCCTGTAGAAAATGACGAGAGACGCGAAAAGACGCCTCAAGAACACGAGGAGAAGTTTTAATTAAAATGTGAGTACGAATTTATACAGTTTACTTACACGAATTTATTTAGTTTCTCAACATTTTGGCCGCCTAGTAAATATCGATTGGAAATTGTAAACCGGTATATTCTGAGGTAGAAATGATAATAACAGAAGTAAAAAGCGGGGTTTGGAAAGAGTAAAACTATCATTTCTTTTTGGTTATGAATTTCCTACGACCTCGAACTCCCAGAATCTGATTGTTTATATTCTCCCCTAAAGTTGCTACGCATTTTCTTGTATATTAGTTAGGAGAATTTGGTGTTGTATTCTCATTACCTGTTGGATACTGTATGAAAGTATGACAACTAGAGAGTTCGGATCTGTTACGTCATTTCCGTTCTTAATTTTTGCTTGCGAATCAAGTTTTGCATACGGGAATGTTTTGATATCAAGTGACAAAAAGCTAAAAAGAAATTTAGAGTGAGGGATTGCTTGCTGAAGCGCTGAACCGTGATGACGTCATTCCCGTGCAGAGCTTTTGTTTCTAAAGCACAGTGTTTGACATTCAACAGTGTAAGGAGTATGTCATGTGTGAATTAGGAATAACATTGGTAATTTTATATTTTTGCTTCATTCGACAGAAACCGGAAGCGCTGTGATCCAATTTTCTGGCATTTCTACAAGCTGTTTTAACGTACAGGAATAAAGCCATAAACTGTAAATCTGTGATA